AAGAAATCAAAGACAATCTCAGAAGATGGAAAGATCTCCCATGCTCATGGATTGGCAGGATTAATATAGTAAAAATGGCCATGTTGCCAAAAGTAATCTACAGATTCAGTACTATCCTCACCAAAATTCCAACTCAATTTTTTATAGAGTTAGAAAAAACAATTTGTAAATTCATTTGGAATAACAAAAAACATAAGATAGAAAAAACTATTCTCGACAATAAAAGAAATACTGGGGGAATCATCATCCCCCATCTCAAGCTGTACTACAAAGCAATAGTGATAAAAAAAAAAAAGCTGTATGGTATTGGTACAGAGACAGGAAGGAAGATCAATGGAATAGAATTGAAGACTCAGAAATGAACCAACACACCTATGGTTACTTGATCTTTGACAAAGGAGCTAAAACCATCCAGTGGAAAAAAGACAGCATTTTCAACAAATGGTGCTGATTCAACTGGAGGTCAGCATGTAGAAGAATGCAAATCGATCCATTCTTTTCTCCTTGTACAAAGCTCAAGTCCAAGTGGATCAAGGACCGCCACATAAAACCAGATACACTGAAACAAATAGAAGAGAAACTGGAGAAGAGCCTCAAACACATGGGAACAGAACAAGAGAAGAGAACATCAATGGCTTATGCTCTAAGATCAAGAATTGACAAATGGGACCTCATAAAATTGTAAAGTTTCTGTAAGGTAAAGGATACTGTCAACAGGACAAAACGGCAACCAACAGATTGGGTAAAGAGCTTTACCAATCCTACATCCAATAGAGGACTAATATCCAAAATATACAAAGAACTCAAGAAATTAGACTCCAGACAACCAAATAACCCTATTAGAAAATGAGATACAGAGCTAAACAAAGAATTCTCAACTGAGGAAACTCAAATGGCCGAGAAACACCTAAAGAAATGTTCTGCATACTTAGTCATCAGGGAAATGCAAATCAAAACAACCCTGAGATTCCACCTCACACCAGTCAGAATGGCTAAGATCAAAAACTCAGGTGACAGCAGATGTTGGCGAGGATGTAGAGAAAGAGGAACACTTCTCCATTGTTGGTGGGATTGTAAGGTGGTACAACCACTCTGGAAATCAGTCTGGTGGTTCCTCAGAAAATTGGACATAGTATTACCTGAGGATCCAGCTATACCACTCATAGGCATATACCTAAAAGATGTTCCAACATATAACAAGGACACATGCTCCACTATGTTCATAGCAGCCTTATTTATAACAGCCAGAAGCTGGAAAGAACCCAGATGTCCTTCAACAGAAGAATGAATACAGAAAATGTGGTACATTTACACAACAGAATACTACTCAGCTATTAAAAACAATGAATTCATGGAATTCTTAGGCAAATGGATGGAACTAGAGAATGTCATCCCAAGTGAGGTAACCCAATCACAAAAGAAGACACATGGTATACACTCCCTGATAAATGAATATTAGCCCCAAAGCTCACAATACCAAGATACAGCTCACAGACCACATGAAGCTCAAAAAGAAGAAAGACCAAAGTGTGGGTGCTTTGGTCCTTCTTAGAAGGAGTAACAAAATACAGAAAAAATACAGAGACAATGTATGGAGCAGAGACTGGAGAAGGGACCATCCAGAGACTGCCCCACCTGGGGATCCATCCCATGTGCAATCACCAAATGCAAACACTGTTGTGGATGCCAGGAAGTACATGCTGACAGGAGCTTGATATACTGGTCTCCTGAGAGGCTCTGCCAGAACCTGACATATTCAGAGGCGGATACTCCCAGCTAACCATTAAACTAATTCAGGGTCACAAATGGAGGAGTTAGAAAGAAGACTAAAGGAGCTGAAGGGGCTTGCAGCACCATAGGGAGAGCAACAATACCAACCAACCAGAGCTCCCAGGGTCTAAACAGCCAGCCTGGGAACACATATGGAGGGACTCATGGCTCCAGATGTATATGTAGTGGAGGATGGCCTTGTGGGGAATCAGTGGAAGAGGAAGGCCTTGGTTTCAAGAAGGCTGGATGCCCCAGTGTCGGGGAATTCAAAAGTAGGGAAATGGGAGTGGGTGGATGGGTGGAGGCACACCCTCATAGAAGCAGGAGGAGGGGGATGGGCTAAGGGGTTTCCAGGGTTGGGAATGGGAAAGGAGATAACATGTAAAATGTAGATAAATTATCCAATAATAAAAATTAAAAAAAAAAACAGATAATGGAACTGGCTGTATTGCAGTCAAGCATTCGAGACTTTTTGTAAACAATTTAATATTACCCATATTACTGGCATTCCTCATAATCCTTAAGGACAAGGGACTGTGGAAGGGGTCCATGGAACGTTAAAACAATATCTTCATAAAATAAAAAAGGAGGAAGTATAGCCCCGTACAGCACAAATTTATTTAAATCATGTTCTTTTTATTTTAATTTTTTTTAAAAAAATTTTGATGCAAGGAACTTTCTGCTGAGTGTCTATGGCACCCAACGACAATGCATACTTATGCCTAGGTGAAAGGGAAGGATCCACTTACTGGCATATGGCATGATCCCAATCAGGTATCTAATATGTGAAAGAGGGCATGTTTATGTTTTTTTTCTGTAGGATGCTGAAGGAGCATGGTGGCTGCCAGAGTGATGGGTGAAACATGCTGATGCCAAGACAAAGAATAATGCTGACCTGTGAGCTTGCTGAGTGCCCTGACAATGGTGACTGGGAAGCTGTATTGAACATATGTTCCAGACCCATCTTTGATTGCCTATATCTTAGATGGGATAAGCTGCCTTGCCTCAAGTTTTTAGACATTGTGGAACAGAGAATCAAAAAGAGAAGTTATAATGACTCTTGTATTTTTCTTAAATATGACCAGTTTTTCAGACGCAATCGTGGACTGGTCTAGAAATCAATCCAATATTGGAAATAACAGTCTTCATTTGGAAGGCTGGTTCTGGACATTTTCAGAGACATATTTGCAAGTTACCTGTAGTTCTCTATGATGTTATGTTAGCAAGAGATAAAGTTAGAACAGGATCTGGATTTCAAACAAGTATTAGTACATGTGTTAAGGCTCTTTTAATTGTCAAGTTAAAACTACTTTTGTTTCTTCTACAGTATTTAATGTAAGTTGCATTGATTGTACACTTCCTAATCATATTAGTGTGTTGAAACCTGACATGTCTATTATGGAAGTCTACCAGCCAACTTTTGTTTTAGTGCCCTAAGTATTACAGAACCACGATATTCTGAAAAAAGATTGCAAGTACTGGAAGAAGTGAGTCAGGCTTTAAGCAGAAGCAAGAGAGTAGTGGACTTGATTATTGCTGGTATAACAGCTTTATTTACATTAATTGCTAGCACCACTGCTTCTACAATTGCTTTGACACAGGAAGTTCAGACAGCTACTTTTGTTAATCATTTAGCAAAAAATGTTACTAATGTGTTGGATATACAAGAGGATTTAGATAGGCATTTGGTACAATGGATTGATGTTCTTTATCCTATTCAAATTATCAGAAGGAGGTTCAGAGTTTAAGAGTAAGGAGTCATCTCGAGTGTCATGCCAAAAACAATTGGAATTGTGTTACTTCTGAAATATACAATGATAGTCATTATAATTAGGAAAAAGTTTAAAGACATTTGCAGGGTATTTGGCATAATTCTCACACCTCTCTGGAAGTTTTAACTTTGCATAGTGAGATTATGAATTTAAAGAGGACTGCTCTGCTGAGCATTGATGCAGCAAATGCTGCTGATAAAATTATCCATGGCCTGAGGACAGTATTTCTATTTTGGCCAAGCTTCAAGAATGGCATATATAGTTTGATCATGCTAGCTAGCCCTTTTTGTCCTGGGAATTCTTTTATTCCTGCCCATCATGTTAAAGGTTGTCTTTAACATCACCAACAGGTTAGCAGCCAAAGTACATGACTTGAAACTGAAAATGGACCCCCAGATAGAGTTATTAATATAATAGGCTGGCAAGGCAAGGATGGGTAAGATTGTGCACAGAGCCTTACCAATCTAAGACAGAAATGCATTGGTTTGGATAACGCATATTCCACAATGGGTAAGGAAGGCATTCTTGTCAGAAAGACCTAAGACAGGCTCAGTCTTGTTTATGAAATAAAAAGGGGGAAGAGGTGGAGAGCTTTTGGAGCTGCTTGGCAAGAATATGACATTGGCCAAGGACAAGGAAATGGGTTTCAGACAGGAATCTGACATTAGGCTAGAACGAAGAAATAATTTCAGGCAGGAATCTAAATATTAGGCTAGAACAAAGAAGTAGGCTTCAGGAATGAAAATGACTTTAGGCTAGGACAGGGAAGTAGGCTCAGATATTTTGGTCATCCTGATAAGCCCTTAGAAATAATGATCACGGGAGTGATCACAGAACTTTGTTTATTGTCTTGCTTGTGCTTTGACTATTTGTGTTTATTGCCTTACTTGTTCCTTGACTATTTGCATCTGTTATATTGTTAGTTCCTCAACCTAGAACTGACCTTAATACTTGCATGTAATTAAAATGGTATAAAAGTAAACAGGAGGAGGGGGGATAGGATAGGGGGTTTCTGTGGGAGGGATGGGGAAAGGGGTTGACATCTGAAATGTAAATAAATACAATATGCAATAAAAATTTCTTTGAAGAAAAGAAAAAGTAAAAACAAAAACCAACAAGGAAAAAAAATCTATACTTGTCTGCATTTTACAAATAGAATATTTACAGTATCAAATCTTCAGAGATTTTCTGGCCTTTTATCACACAACTATAAAATAGGGAAGGTCAGTATATATGGATCCACACACAAAATTGTTTGTAATTAAATTTTAAAAATTAGTTTTCCTTATAGGATAATATTCTTAGTACTGGACAGCAACAATGTTGACAAAAAACACCCCCCCCCAAAAAAAAAAACAAGAAAGAAACAATGATTATATAATAATCAGGAATAAAGGGTAACAAATAAAACAAGTACTTGTTTCATGTCTTCTTTAAGGAGCCAAGCCGTTTACCTACCAAATTGATATCTGACACTTGTCCTGTGCAATCAGCTCGCCCAACACCAATGTAGTAGCCACTGAAGTTCTGAAATGAAGGAAAGTCTGGAGCTTGTGTAATTGGAGAGGTCTGGGTGGTTGTGGAGACCTGGGTAGTTGGAAACCAGTGATTTCCTGAATCTAAAAACAGAACAGGATATTTGAAATGCAACACTCTATCCCACTTACTCCCCGATATCAGGTAAAAGACATAGTTTTAAGTCCCTAAGGAAAACTTGTCATATTGTCTCTCATTTTTTACTTTTGCTTGGTTTGGATTTATTTATTTATTTATTTATTTATTTATTTATTTATTTATTTATCTCTTTCTTTCTTTCTTTTTTTATTCTTTAATCCTTTTTTACAGTCCAGTCTTCATCCCCTTCCCGGTTCATGTCCCCTGTTATTTCTTAAGACACACTCTCATTATGTAGCGCAAGCAGCCTTGGAACTCGAAGATCCCCCTGCCTTTGTCTTCTATATGCTGGGGTTGTAGGTACATTCCACCACTCCCAGTGTTACGCACTGGATTGTATATAAACTGGAAAGTGAGAAATGGGAGGCTGTTTGAAATCATAAATCCACAGCTTTGCTTTTGGACTAGTGACGTTTTAAAATAATAAGCGAGGTCTTTGCAAAAGTATTTTTCACTTTCGACTTCTCACCAGCATTTCATTGGCACCTCATCCACCTCCCTCCCCTACTTTTCTATCCTAGTCAAGCAAATCATGTACAAATACTACCACTCAGCTCCTAAGCCCAGCCATTGACCTAGACTTCTTCCACTGTCTCCAGACTTCCTACTGCTCTCTCCACAGGACACTGTCCACCACTTCTTTCAGAGCTGGTTCATTTCTATGACTCCTACAGGAAGCCCAGTTCCTCATGGAAGATGCCATTCAGTTGTGAATTCTCCCTCTGGTCCTCAGCACACTAAGGCCTTTTATTAATGCAGCTTGAATCATTGTACACTTGGTGACATAATTCTACCACAATTTGATTATTCTAATATATGTGTGTGCTTTTATATACATATATTTCATACCAACTGTGTATATCTATACATGTATTTATTTATAACATACAAATATATATATGGATATCAGAGGATGAAAATTATATAGAAATTGAAAGGCAAATGCCAGACACAAACTTCTTGGTTTGAAATCTAATTCTATCATTTATTACCCAAACAGATCATGTAATCTAAATCTCTCTGACTTCTTCATCTATAGTAAGAAGAGGTTAATGTGTTTTTTAGTATAGTTTTCAGTGGTAACTTTGTGGATACACAGTAAAGAGTTGGAGCAGTGCTACTATATAGCTTTGACTTTCCTTACAGTTGGACATTTTGCATATACATTTGCTTGCCTGTTTTTGCTACCATTGGATAGTAGCCAGGTGTAGTCAAAGCATCAGATGACAGTGCCACAGGCCTTGGCGGTCAGAAGTACTTAGAGAAAGGGATTGTCTAATGTCTTCTGAGATTCCAGAACTTTCGAACTATAATTTTAGAGATCCAACAACTCCAACTGTAACCAGCCTGGCAGCAATGAAGATATTATTAAGAGATGCTTAATAATAAAGGTATCATTAAGTGTCCCACCCCATGGCTATTAGCTATTAAAACAATGGGCCCTAAGTCATTGGAATTTTCCCCAAAAATTCCATGTTCTAAACAGGAAATGGGTGGGAACATGGTGCCAGCCAGGGCTGGGATGAGAGTTTATCTCCTAGAGGAGATATCATGCAGTTCTAACACTAGTCAAAGCACCTCACAGAGACTGACTGGAATTGAGACCAGGATGGGAAGGATCCCATTTTGAGCAGGCAGGAGGTGTGGCCAAGCAGTTATGCATACCACTTGCCCTCTATTTAAAACTAAACCTCATGTCAGGCGGACTTGGGGTGGGGGTAGGGGGATCACTGACCCTCTTTGTTCCTCTGCTCACTGAGGTTGTGTTAAATCTTTTTGTTTTTCACTATGACTTTATCTCTTTATCTGGCCCATTAAGGATGAATAGCTGAACATAGTTTGATAGTGTTTCTAGGGCCCAGGCTTGGACCCTCACAATTCTTCTAATGTGAGAATTGTGTGTTTATAAATAGGAACCCTGAAACCTGAACTTGAAGAAGTAATTTAACTAAGACTTCACAAAGAACATGTGATGAATCTGGTACCCAGACAACCTCAAATCAGAACAGGATATTCCTGCAGCTTCATCTAAGGGGGAAGTTGAACCCACAGACGTGACTTGCACAGCATCAGATATTGCAGGGAGGAAAGCATATTTTTGATTTTTCTCCATTGCTGCCAATATCACCGTACATGTGCCAAATGTGATATAACCTAAGGCCAAGCCTCACAGAGAGAGCAAGCTCCTTGCAATCCTGGGATTACAATGTGTGAAATGGTATCAACACTAGAACATTGTAAAGATTTTGTGAAAGTTAGATGAGAAAATAACAGAATTCTTATTAAATTACACAACTACCAGCACATGCTCCGCCCCCAGAAATATATTGTGGCTTCTGATAATCTCCTGGGTCTCCATCTTATTCTCTAATATTAGGAGGCATGCTGAATGAGCAACGTTAAGTCCTAAGGATGATTTCACTTCTAGTGGTCCAAGAGTCTGCTTTGCTCACCACTGCAAAAGACAACCCTTACTCCTTTGTATTTACAGAGAATTCAGAGTATCTAGACATGGCAAGGAACACACTGCAAAAATTAAGAGGCTACAAATGGGGAAAGTTCCATCTCCTTTGCTACTTTACCTGA